GGTGTGTTTCGGCTCGTCGGAGACTCCCCGGGCAGGGGCAAACGCTTCATGGATTTACTCCTCTTCCAGCTTCCTAAAACGATTATTTTTTTGTTTCAGTAGCAAATAAGCGGTGCAGCTTTGGGTAGAAATCACTGCAAACTCGGGTCTCCGTTCTCTGAGAAGCCTCTGGTGTTCTGCGGGAGCTGCGATTCTACTGGGTTAGTCTCGTGCCTCAAAATAAGTCAGAAGGCAGGTGGATGGGTCAGTCTTTTGAAATACATTCAACTCTGTGTGATGCTATATATAATCATACCTATTCTCTACATGTCTTTTATCTATATTGCATCTACAATGTACATATGTGTATCTATATAAATGTTGAAATCTTTACAACATGCCTGCATCTTTTCATGTACACCTGGAGAAAAGAGAGCTTCTCTTTTTATAAAGAGAGAAGCTGTCTCTGCTGCCACATCAATTACTTCTGCTTAAGCATTTAACATTATCATTGTTCTCTGTTCTACAGGGGAAACAAAAAATCCCAGACAAATGCCTTGCCCCAGGCGAAGGAGTAGGACTGAAGACCTCCTGGAGGGATGACGTTCAGCCTGCAAACTTGTTTTCTCCTCCACTGAGTGTTGCAATTGAGATCGCTAAATCGATTCCTGAATGGCTGAACAGTTTGTCTAGGAAAACAGCAAGAGAGACTGAACACAGAATGAACAGAGTCAGTGTGGTATGAAGACAGATAAAAGTAACTGTCTGTACAAGGATGGATAAGAAAACAGAAAATAGATTCGTTTTTGTTTTCACTGTCTTAGGACTTGAATAAAATGGAGTATCAGCCTGTGCCAAAGTCTCCATTTTGAAGGCAATTCGAGGTGCATCGATCCCCACGCAGTGTGTCTCTCTCCCCTCTCGTTGATGCTGCCCTCCCTTCTGCCTCTTCACACCTTCACTGGTGGTGGAAGAGCCTCTGCCCACAGATTGCTCAGTCTTTCTTTGGCAGCCTTTCCCTTCTCTCTCCATCTTTGTGCGAATCTCTGAAAAGCTATTTTATCTCTTGCTAACAAGCTGGCGCTGAGACAGTTCCTCAAAATCATTTTGCCACTCTAATGTTCTTTCACATAATAGCGTGTAATCTTCATGCTGCTTGTAGCAATTCAGTATTTCTACGTGAATTGCACACCTCTTATTACTGCCTTTTTACATGGCATACACAGCAACCTCGCTCTCTGCTGAGGCAGCCGCTTGTGTCTAGTGTTCTGCTGTATTAGCAATGCTTTCTAGCTTGTGGCAGCGCCACAGTTCTGCCTGGCCTACTGTAGAGAGCTAGTAATGAGCATGCATCCAAACATTAATTGCTATGCCTTGCTTTCAATGTTGATTTCTTTTCCTTACTAGAATTCATTGCAGGCATAAGTAAATCTCAACAGTCTGTGATTTTTGCATTGCAAACTTTCAGCTATACCCTAGGATTATAGTTCTTATCTGCAAATGAGCGAGAGGAGGAGGGAGAAAAATTCAGAAGAGTAGGTTCTTTTAAAAAACATTTTCTTATGTTACAAATGTTAAGGGAGAAGTTGTTCCTATTGCTTGAATTGGTTCAGGTGTGGCAGGGTATGTCCTCGGGCTCACTGCTACGCTGAGGACTGCGCGTCGCTGGGAGGGTCTTTCTGTGGGTGCTTGCAGAGAGGTGCTGCCATCTGTCCCTGCCTCCACAGCCCTGAGGAAGGCATCAGCCCCTGCACCCATGTATCCTTTGAGACCCACAAGGATGCCATCAAATCCCACCCGTTTTATCCCCAGCCTGGCACCTCTCCTTCAGAGGGGTCTCCATGCACCAGGCCCCCAGGGACCCTCACTGCTCAGCACCCAAGGGGGCAACCTGAGGGTTGCTGAGGTCCCATCACCTCTCCGGGGGCTTGTGTTGGGTTGAGGTCCCGAAGGAGGGGGTGTTACTGAGACTGTTCCCGACTGCAGGTCCTGGCATTCCTCGTGGCCGCAGAGCAGAAGGGCACGTCCCCCGGAGGTCATAGAAGAGGAGAGAGGATGTCTACAAGTGTGCCTCGTGCCGTGCCAAGCGTGAACTGGTTGCTCTCGTTTAACCGCCCTGACGCAAGGAGCTCTTTCCCCAGGTAATTTTCCAGTGATGCATCCAACCGCCTGTCCCACGTGTGCTCGCTTCATCCTTCGTGGGCAACCCGTGCCGTGTGGTTGTGCTCCTTTTCACAGTCTGTCAGCGAGTGTTAGGTTAGTCCTATACTTTCCGTAATTAAGAAGAAAACAACACTTCTGGCTAAGCCTCCGTACTGTTTCCAGACTGCAGCATGGGGCGCATCCCGTTTGCCGACCTTCCCCCTTATCTGTTGATGCCTTTTGGTTGCCCACCTTTCAGGCTGAGTGCCAAGTACCAGGGGACCAGATCCCAGTGAGCTGCCCTCAGTTTACTGAGCGCTGGTCATATTCTGATCAGATTGTGCAGCAGAAATTAAGCTGTTTGAATAAATTTTATTAATACAGATAATAAAAACCTGGAGCATTATGGGTGTTATGCTCTTCAGTCATCTGAAATTTCCAGCCTTAAAAAGCAAAAGAAGTTTTGCCTCCTTTTCTGTGTCACCAAAAACCTACAAAGCAAGTATTTTTTGTGGGGCTATTTACGGAATACTGTGGGCTGCTTCGCAGGAGATTTCAAGCCAACTGTCTTGATATTTTTAATTTACTGGCTGGGACAAAAACAATGTACAGAAACCCATGATTAAATTAATTTACTACTACTTTTTTAAACACAAATAATGCAGTTTGCTAGTTCTACGTCATAAGCCGTAGAGAGCTGGCCTCTATTTTGAACTGTGTGGCTGAGGAGACTTATCTTTCCTGTGAAGAAGTTTCACAAACTTTCAAACTATCAATATTACAGTGTAGTAAACGGCATAGAGAGCCTGGGGCCTTTGCCACCCCCTCAGGAGAGGAAGGTCAAGGTTATATGACTGTAATTATTCACACCGCACAAAACCAAGAAATAAAGCGGGAGATCAAGCAAAGCATCTAGTCAGAGCAAAGGCGTTTCTACTGACACTTCAAAACCTGGGAGATGGTATCCCAGGTCCTGCTCCCTCCCACGTGATGTTCCCTGAGCCATAGGGAAGGTGAGGTGCCAGGCTGGAAGCAACGGAGGAAGAAAAAGGGAATATGGGGGATAGTCTGAGTCGGACGGGGCGCTGCTGCTTTGCAGAAAAGTGAAGCTTAGGTGCTATTGACTACGGATGGGATTTGTACCTCAAGGAAAACTTATTTTCCTCTGAAATGAAATCAGCATTCCCAGAATAAATAGGATGACAAAGCCCATGATTTTCCACTTTCCTTGCTGATATTTTCATGCGAAACAAAGAGCATGCATTGTGAAGGAAAATAGCTCTTCCTTTGTTCCGTGGAGAAATGCAGTAACCTTCCATAGATAAACAATTGAGCAAAAGTCTGTGAAGGGGCAGGGAGAGGGGGAGAAGATTATTTGCAGATAAAAGGCATTTTCTCATAAATGAGCAAGGTTCAGCTGTAACTCAAGGACTTCACTAACCAGTTTGGATGATGTTTCTCAACACCAACCATTCAAATGCAGTTTTCCATGTATCTCAGAGTTTGTATTTATTAAATACTGCTTGTTCCACACAGATGATGCAAGAACCCATCCCAAACATCCTCTGGTTTTCAGATGGTGCCTGCGAACTTGATGGGATTCTAGCAGGATAATGCGAACCTGGCATGAGGTGGAGCGTGGTAATACTGCCCTTTAACATGAGGAGGCAGGGAAATTCGGGACCCGGTTCCAGCCATCCCACTTACATTCACCGGGACCACTCAGCGTGCACGGGGGAAATGGACCTACAGCTCCTATTGACTTTCAGCTTAGAAGGATAGCCCTTCTGTAGAAAAGACTTATAGGTCTCATATATTGTCAGTATAACCAGTGAAAGTTTAATAAGGTGCTTGGTGGTAGTGCTGCTAAAAAAGTAGCTATGAAACCATTTGATTTCTAAAAATCCTCAGGAGGCGACATTGTGAGAAATGAATAGTTACCAATCAGCTGCTTCCTCCTGCTTGCGTTGGAAAATGTGAAGGCGTTCTGTTTATCTGCACCACCTGGATTTGAAGATCAAGGATTTTATTCGGCCCTGAAAGATGCAGCCATCTTCAGAAGGCCTTGGTCTTGCTGAAAGATGCAGCCATCTTCAGAAGGCCTTGGTCTTGCTGCAGTATTCATGTGGCGGGTAGGATGGTCACTTGCTCGCTGTGGCTGTGTGTGAAGTAAAAGGGGCTGTGATAGCATTTATTTCTCTCCACTTTCATTGCCTGTACCTAGGGTCACAACGTGGAGAAGTAAAGCAACTCCCACTGATCTCCCCACTGTCAGAACTGTGCTACTGCAATGCCACCACCCATGCAGCGAGGGGCATTTTCCTTCCTCTCCCCAGGACAGAGGGGCTCCAGGGACACATTTGTGCCTCTCCAGTCCTTTGCATTCTCTGCCCCAGCTCTTTACCTGTAGAAAATTCACAGCTCATCTAAATTCACCGTGGATTTAGCAGGTCCAAATATTCCACAGAGTTTAAAATCCTTGCAGGAGCATTCAGCACTGTAATATATGTTTAATTCCTGAGCCATTAGGAATAATTTGCATAACAACTGATGCCTTAGCAGTTAAAGGAGCCACCAAATCCAATTCTCTTGAAGCAGTTTTTATGCATCCGAAGCTTTTGAAATTAGCAGGGTTTCTCTTGAATTGACATTAGAAATAGTGTGCTTTCTGAAATAACAAGGTGTTTAAAAAGAACTGCGCGCTTCTCCACAGTGCTCTCCTGTCAGAGATCTGCCCCATGCTGGTGGCAGTGCTGATGGACAAAGGGAGAGAGGACTCCAGCTGCAGAAGGTCTCAGCAGCACAGCTCATTCCGAGCGCCAAGCGACAGCAGCGTTGTCCCTTGATCTGTTGCAATGTCTCAGAATTTCCTTTATGCCATGAATCATTGCATCTGACCTGCAGCTCACAGAAACCAGTAGCTGTCTGGGAATCAGCTTTTGTGAGCCTTGTGTTGTTACATTCTGCACTTTATTGGCAGGGAAAAGAGCTCTTGATGAATCTAAGTCAATCACTCCTCCCAAAGTACCGGGCATAATGGCATTTAAGTGTGTGTTAAGCAAGAGTTTTACATTGTCTTAAATCAGGACTCCAAAGCTTGCCTGTAAAGTAAAAAAAAAAAAAAGGTAACTTCTTAACCTTTTTATCTGTTTATTTTTGCTGCTTTGTGATATATAAAGGTGGCCTGGAACGTTAACTCTGCTTCTACATAAACCATTCTGCTTGCATCTGTACAGAGAAATACCAGATTTTAGCTTCCCCGTTTTTGCTGAAGGACCCAGGGAGAACTGGAGAACCTTTGGGAATCGGCCAAAGAAACAAGACGGCAAAGTGAGTGCCTGGTCTGCACGAACATCTCGCTTGCCAGGGATAAATGAATAAAAGGTTCAGCAAGCTTATACCGCTGCTGCGGGTGGAGAGCTGCTCGGCTCCAGGTGCCAAAGACCAGCAGGCCAGGTTTGCTATCCCTGGCAGCTCTAGCACAAGGCGGCATTAACAAAGAGCTGTGGCTGCGACAGGAAGAAGGTTGGGGGGTTTTTTTTGTTATTTTTGGTGACCCAAGAAAATAAATTAACAGATGGCGTTCAGCAATGGCCTTTTTAGAGAGCTACAACATTTTTACAACCTGTCTTTAGCCAGAACTAATATATGGATTAGCAGAATTAATTTGGTCGTAGGCAGCCAGGAAGGACAGGAAAACAGCTCTTCTGACCTGCACTAGATTTATCATATTTCAAAAAGCAGATCATTTGGATAACACCTCCTCAGAAAATGCCTTGAGATTGCTTCAGGGGAGAACACAACCTTCTTCCTAATCTCCAATCCCTCTAAGCACTTGCATTTGATAACCCTTGCCCCCTCCCTTCAGTTGTCTATACCTAATTTTCATATCCTGTTTTATTTCTCCAGCATAAGCACGGTCCCCTTCTGGGATGAATAGTGCTTCCCAGAGCTCCCGCAGCACGATGCAGGTGGATCCCAAGGAGTCTTGGTAAGAATCAAAGACGTGGAGATGTAACATACTATATTGCACACCTGCTGTAACGCAGCAACTCAGTGCCCACTAGCACAGCGTGGTCTCGTTTATTTATATCGCCGTGGGAGCAAGAGACCTTTGTTAAGATCACAAATAGCAGGTAGGGGAGAAGGCAGAAGTTAGTGTGAAGTGCAGCCCACAGAGTATTGTAATGAAGTATAAGTTCTGTTTTGATTTGGTCGCTGAGATTTGATTGTCTTTGAATACTTCAGTCCTGCTTTAGGACTCTCCAGGGACTGTGCTTTTGTGGGCGATGAATAAAAGGAACTGGGATATTGGGTATCTTTCCTTTTCATTATCTTGCCAAAAAGTTGAAATTTGGCAAACCTTTAGAAAAATAACTGGAAACAGGGCCTAAGCACAGTTGTTCACTGTTTCCTAGTAATTGGGGTGGGGCTTAGAGCTTTAGCTGTATCATAATTAGGTAACAACTATATTTGTGGCCGTCCTTTGTACAGGATGCTGGAGGTGATCTAGGAGCGCCTGAGCAGACAAGGAAGAGTCTCCTGGACAGAGTCACTCCAGGTACGCTCTCCCTCGCCTGTTCCCTGGGAGGTGGTTATATTGTGCAGTGAGATTAGCATCCCGCATAATTTAGGGAAGTTCAGGCCGTGAACTGGTTCTTGAAGGACAATCTTTGCCAACAACAAAGATGGGACAGCAGGCTCTGGCCCTGGCTGAGGAGGGGAGCGGAGCATCAAGCCTCAGCCCATACTTAAAGTTATCTTGATTCCTTAACACTCCCTATAGCTGGCGCATGCACTGAGTGGAGAAGCAGCCCTGAGAATGGTATTTGAGGAGCAGCTCAGCTGAGCTGATGTGCATCTAACAACGAAGAGAGAGAGAGAGAGGGCCCAGTGTGCGTGGCCAAAGCTTCTGGGGGGATTTCTGCAGCGCCCTCAGAATCGCATAGTAACCACTGCCCTTTTGCATGGACAGTAGCTTTTCTCTGGCTCTCATGCGTGGCAAGTTGCAAGAGGGCTTGCTCTTCTTGGGGGGGTTCAAAATGATCCTCAGCAGTCCTTTCCCCACATAGAGTCAGTGTTGTAGGGAGAAGTATTTGATCTCTTTCCCCAAACTCGGCTCTCCAACTGGAAGTATGCATTGCTTCAAGAGAGAGGATGAGGAGAAAAGACGAGGACACAGTGGCTGATAGAAAGACTGGGGAAAGCCCAAGACAAAACCAGGGCAGCAGACAGATCAGGGGTGTAGGTCTGGTCTAGTGACCCAGCTGCATGACCGAGAGAGCATGTGGTTCTGGTAAGCTGTTCCTTGATAGGTGCACTGCAGCAGAGGGCACCAGAAAGCAAGAAAAACTTTGTTCTGCGCTAACAGCTTGTAAAATACTAATGTCTTTGTGGGTTACAAAGGCTGGGGGTGCTGGTGACGGGGTTGGCTTTGTGCTTTATGTGGGAAGGAATGATGAAGAAAGACTCGACAGTCCCCTGTTGTGTACTTTAACTTGCCATAAACACAGGCAGCGTGATGGCCGCGAGCTCTCGGCATCCCGGCTCAAACTGACGCTGTGGCTGCAACTTGGGCATAACTCCCGCGCGTGACAGAGCCACTGCTGCCCCGTGGTATCTGATGGCCTTCCAGAATTGCTGAACGCTTGAGAGAGATGGGGAAATGGGTCTCTACATACCTGTGCGCATACCTCTGAATCCTGCAGAGGATGCTCCTGGCACTTCTACAGTCGCACTCAAACATTAAGCTTTTCTGCGTTGAGGGCGATGCTGCGTGGCTGTCTCGCAGCCCGTTTCATCTGCGGAGTGCCATCAGCATGACCTGCTCGTCCCCAAACCCCCAGCCGCGCTTTTACCCCCTGCCTGCAGCCGACCCCCGTCAGGGGAGGCGAGGGGAC